TGATTGAAACCTGGTTGTCCAGTCCATAGTCGGCCACTATATACTGAGCTGATGCTTCTCAAGAAATCCACCTTATTTTATGGAGCCCTGTCCTGAACCAGATGAATTTAGTTCTCACCATCAAACCCAATTTCCCTATGATCTGTTTTAATATTATCCTACCTTCTGAATCTAATTATAATATTTTACATAAGAAATGTAATCTTTTTGGAATGTTTTTAACACTTCCACCAAAATCAAAAGTTATAAAATTAAAGGTATGTATATTTTGTATAATTCTCTACATATGTGAAGACTCATATTTAATGTAGAGTAATATGGTTTACACTTAGATCAGCTCATCTCATGGAATATGTTGAGCGATGGTGGTCACAAATGGATTGTAGAAGATCCTCCTGAAGGTACAGATAATGTGCCACACAGTGAAGAATTTGACAACTTATCTAGTTGCTTTGCCACATCCTTTGAATCATGCAGTAAAGAGCAAACAATTGATCTGTTATCAGAGGGTATGAATAGCAAAATGATGGATGAATTTCGACCCATTATTGAAGTGAGTGAATGGTAAGTGTTATTGTTACAGGGAAAAATGTGTCTGAAAATGCCTGTTTAGATTACTGTCTTTATTTTGGTGTTTCTCAACAATATCAGGTAGCTGGTATTCAAAGTGTCAGTTTGTGTTTGTAGTGAAATATCTTGGATGTTTGTATGGCTGTGAGTGTTGTAAGTGGTTAGAAATTGTGTTCACATTTAATTCAGTCAGCCAAGTAATGGGTTTTTAATTTTGACTAACTGTATGATATAATAAATGTTACAGCAATTAATCACTATAATTTAATACAGTGTAATGCATATTCACTGTGTAATACAACATTTTGTGTGTATCCTTCCAGTACCATAAATCTATATGATAAATAATTATGGTTGGTAATCATTTGGTGCTGTTAAGGCCTTGTGTGATAATATTTTAAAATGTACCATTGTTATCATTTGCTATTAAGGGATTTTGACCTTAATGGGATAATAGTATAACTGTTGCCATGGTAATACTGTTAAAAGAGGCCTACTTTCTACAGTTATTAAGCATTCTGTGGACAGTGTGCTGGTCTGTTTGCATGTGTATCCTCTATGTCCAGTCTGGCTTTCGGACATACTAAGCCTTTTATACAATGGATACAAGGGGTTGTTTCCCTAGGGGTTAACTGCAGCTGGTGCATGACACTGATCAATTATCCCCATCTAGTGCTGAGGTCAAAAATGAGTAGGAGTTATACCTCCTCTCCCTCAAAGTGCTTCCAAGGCATATAGCAGGACAGCTTTATATTTTACTGCTTAATTGTATAGCTCTTAGTTTGTTTTCCTTGTTCCTATTATATAAATACTGCTTCATTACAGCTTACAGTTGTCACCACCCAGTCC